GTGCACTGTAATAACGGACATAGCCTTCAGTCATAGGAGTGACCCCAGACTTTAGTGTTACTGATCCCAGAGCCTGTGGGTGGTGTACTGGGACACAGGGTTGGGGAGACTGAGGGCCAGCTCAGGAGCCCTGAGAGAAGAACCGTGATCAATCCACTTTGGGGACTGGCCCTTGCTATTCTGACGCCCTTACTGCCTCTCCTCCTTGGCCACTGACTGGCCATTTAGCCTACATCCCAGGTCTTCTCAGCCAGAGTCCCCTCCTGACATCATTTTGTGTCCTTCCACTGTGGTCAAGTTAGTGCATCTCTTGATGGGAGTGTGGACTCCTTAAGAATGGGGACGGGGTCTCACTTTTTTCTAGTGCTCCTAAGTGCTCGCTACCGGGCTTTGTAGCCAAGCCATAAAGCAGCACACCTGGCGGGCTACCTGCTAGTTTTCCCTGCGTCTCCAGTTAGCTTTGTGTGGCAGACTGTGTTTCCAAAAACAGCTACAGCACCATTTCTGCCCCCATAAGCTCTTCAGAATCTTGCCATTCCCCATCGAGAAGTAGTCTATTTTCCCTCGCCTTGAATCTAGGCAGAACTTTGTATCTCAATGAACAGAATGCCGCTGAGTGACATTGTGTGACTTCCAAGGTTTCCTAAAAGGTGACTGGGCTTCTGCCTGGTTTTCTCTTGTTAAGCTCACCCTTGTCATCCAGTTACCCCCATGCTATGAGGAAGCCCAATTTAGCCTAAGTAGCGAGACTACCTGGAGAGGTCCAGATGGAAAGGAACTGAGGCCCCCCAGTCAACAGCCAGCATCAACTGCCAGGCAGGCAAGTGAGCAAGTGTTCAGATGGCCCCAGTGCCAGCACTGAAGTCTTCCAGCTGAGGCCCTGACACTGTGGAGCAGAGACAAGCTGTCCCCATATGCTCTGTCCAAAACCCTGACCTGCAGAATCTGTGCACATAAGAAATGGTTGTTTTATTCCACTGAGTTGGGGGCAATTGATTACACAAACCTAGCAACTGGAATACTATGCAACAATGGACAAGCTATTTCTCTATGGGCCTAGACTTTCTCATCCTTTAGCCTCCTTTTACAGAAAGACAGAAGGAAAAACTGGAACACTGCCTCCTCCTCTTTCATCTCCTACATAACTCTCCCTTATTCCTTCTTTTTCCCTCCAGCTTTATTGAGGTATAATTGGTACACAAAAAATTGCACATAATTAATATATACAATTTGGTGAGTTTGGACATATGTATACACTCATGTTATCACCACAATTCAGGTACTAAAAATACCCATCACTTCCAAAAGTTTCCTTGTGTCCCCTTTTTTTTGTGGGAAGAACATTTAACATGATATCTACCCTATTAAATTTTTAAGTGCATAATAGCTTCTTGTTAACTGTAGGTACTTCGTTGTACAGCAGATCTCTGGACATACTCCTCTTGTATAACTGTAACTTTATACCCATTTTTCCCCTCCCTCATCCCCTGGTCCCCACCACTCTCCTGTCTGCTTCTGTACCTTTGACTGCTCTGCATGCCTCATGTAAGAGGAGTTACGCCGTGGCTGTCCTTCTGTGACTGACATTGCACTTAACATTTCTTCCAGTTCAATCTATGTGCTCGCAAGTGGTAGGAGTTCCTTCTCTTTAAAGGCTGAATGATATTCCATTGTATGTACATGCCACACTTTATCCATTCATCTGATGATGTACATTTAGGTTGTTTCTATATCTTGGTTATTGTGAATAACATTGCAATGAACATGGGAATGCAGATATCTCTTCGAGATCTTGATTTTAATTTTTTTGGATATACACCCAGAAGTGGGATGGCCAGACCTTAGTCTATTTTTAATTTTTTGAGGAGCCTCCATACTGTTTTCCATAATGGCAAAGCCATTTTACATTCCCACCAACAGGGTTATGTATAAGCGTTCCAATTTCTCCACCACATCACAAACACTTATCTTTTGTTTTTTTTGATAGTAGACATTCTAACAGACGTGAGGTGATATCTCCTTGTGGTTTTGATTTGCATTTCCCTGATGACTAAGATGTCGAGCATTTTTTCATGTACCTGTTGGCCATCTACATGTCTTCTTGGGAGAAATCTCTGTTCAGGTCCTTTGCCCATTTTTTAATCGCGTCATTTGTCTTTTTGCTATTGAGTTGTAGGAGTTCCTTATGTATTTGGGAAATTAACCTCTGGTCAGATATATGGTTTGCAAATACTGTCTCCCATTCCACAGGACGCCTTTCACTCTGTTGATCATTTCCTTTGCTGTGCAGAAGCTCTGTAGTTTAAGGTAGTTCCACTTGTTTATTTTTGCTTCTGTTGCCCTTCATTCCTTCCTCACATCGGTGCAACCTCTCTTCCTCAGGGAAGCCTTCGCGGGGCCCCCCACCTGCCTCCCATGCCAGCTCAGGCCACCAATCACAAGCTCTTAGAGCGCTCTATTTCTTCTTCCCCCAGTCTGTGATGATACACTTGTTTGTGGTTATTAATGAAACAGCAAACTGGAGGAGGGGAAGGATCTCGTCCATCCCGCTCACTGTGATGTCTCATCAGTTAGGACAGCGCCTGGCACTCAGAAAGCTGTGGACTGAATGAACTAGGGCTTGCCCAAGGTCATACACTTAGCACTAGAGCTGGGACCAGGACCTGGTGTCCCAGTGCTCAGGTGAAGGCTCTTTCTGCTATACCAGTTTGCCTCCGCTCCAAACCTCCTGCTGCTTTTCTTAGCCTCCAAACTTCTGACCATCTAGAGATTAAGACATTGTGTCTTCAGCCTCTCCTCAAACTGAAAACATTCCATCTTCATCTCGACAGCCACCTTCTTGCCAAAATAAGCCAGGAAAGGGTATGGGAGTGCCTGGATTCCAGCAGGAGTTGAGCCGGTCTGAGAAGAAAAACAGAGAAAAAGGAAATATCCCAAAATGTTGATTTGTTTAAACTTCTTCACAAACTTAACAACACAAGGAAACCAACAGAGACAAGCTTGTACTGAAGTAATCAGCCAACGCTGCTAATATTCCAGTAAGATGAAATGATTCCCCACATTTCGTGGGGTAGATATGAATAGGGTCATTAAAATATAGCCAAGGAGGGGAGGGAGCGTTTACTTTTTCTGTCTCCTTAGAGTCTGTGTTCTGAAAGTTCAGCAGGAATTTAAACAAATAGCATGGAGGAATGGTGAATCTGATCATATTTAAAGAAAAAGCCCCTTTCAAACTTCTCTTCCCTTTAATAAATACATTGGCTTCTGCAAGTTGTGTTTTTTAAAAACCCTGTAGGTTGCTTTTTTTTTCCCCATCTGGAGAGCCTAGATGAGAAAAACAAAATTAGCATCAAATTGTTCTAATATTGTTCTGCATATTTTTTTTCTCTAGGTCAAGAAGAAATTGTTGCTTCTCTCATACAAATGAATGCAAGGAGAAGGGAAGGAAGGTAGGTAATAGGGAATGGGGATCACAATGCCCCCTCTTTGCTTAAAAAGCGAAAAATGAAGTTAGGGGAAATATATGGAGAGAGCTACCGGAGGAGAGAGCTACCGACCAAAGGGACTGAATCAGTAAAACAGGCCTGTGAAGGTCACAGCTGCACAGGGAGGGGAGCACTGGGTCTCTGAGCCGTTGTTCCCTGCATTCCAGACAAGATGCAACTGTAGGAGGAGGAACTGAAGGGAGAGATGCGCCGCCACCCTCAACTGGGCAAATTTAGTTGAACTAATGGCATAACCTACTGAAACTCATAGAGGATGGGAGTTCAGTGCTCTGATCTTGGACAAGTTACTTAACTTCTTTAAGCCTCAGTCTTCTCATCTGTGAAATGGGGGAGAAGAGGACCTACCTCACAGAGTTTTGTAGGTTAAGTAATTTAAAGGAAACACACTGTGCCACCTAGCACATAGTAAGTCTTCCACAAATGTTAGGAAAAAGAATGAAAAATCCACCCAATGAAGCACTCTTCGGGAGAGGCTCCTCAGCCCTAGAGAGGTTGGTGGCCCGCAGGGGTCGGAGGACACCTTAGCCAGCTGCCCCCACGCTTCTCTAAGCCGGGCAGCTCAGTTCTGGGCTGTGGTGCGCCTTCAGGGCCCAGGGCTCCTCACCTAGTTTGCTTAAGCAAGTTCTTTCACACACCCCCATACACATTTTGGCCGAAAATTCAGTGAGGTTTTCTCTTCCTTCTTCCTCTGTTGTTGTTGGGTTCTGATTATTTCCATCTGGCTGCGGCAGCTCGAGTGGAGTCTCTAAACAAAACAAAACAAAACAAAAACCCTCCCTACAAAACACACATGCAGCAAACCTAGAAGGCTGATTCTCTTCTCGCCAACATGCTCTCAGATGGCGACGGGTGCGGGCAACGGAGGAGGGCGCGGGCAGGACCCCTGGCACCTGCGCGCGCTGCTGGCCGACGGAGGGTCCGCGCACAGCCAGGGCCCCCCCTCCAGTCCCTCAGTCTCCGGCTTCCGCCCCGGCGCCCGGAGAAGCGGGCGCACTGGGAACAGCGACCCGGGCATCTCCCGGAGGAGGGGAAGGAGGAGGTGGGGAGGGCGAGTGATTTCAGAGATTGAAAACAGATCAGTCCCTGAGCCTCAGCTCCGGAGCTCATCTGACTTGAGTTAGCGACCCCCCACCCACCCCGGCGCCTTAAAAAAAAAGTGTTGGAGATTGGCGCATTCTTTCGTTCTCTGCTCGAACTTTTCCTAGTAGGTGTGCTTTCTTTCCTCGGTGCAGGAGAGAAGAGTCCTCGGACGCCCCCCTCCCCTCCGTGTCCCTCCGGGTCCCCCCCGGGGCGGGTGCGCGCGGAGCGGGCGGGTGCGCGGCGCTCGGGTGTGCTCCAGCCGTGCGCGCGGGGGCGCTGCGCTGTCCGGGCGGCGCTGATGGATTGCAGGAGTGCCGGAGCTCGCCAGCCGAGGCAGCACGGCTCCGCGGACTTTTTTTCAAACTCCCATCAATGAGACTTCGAGGAGGAGCGGGAGGCGGCGGCGGTGGCGGACGCGGAGGAAGGCGAGGAGGAACCGGGGAAGCCGAAGGAGCCGGAGGAAGGAGCGCGGGCCGCGCGGCGCGCCGGAGCCTCGGTGAGCTGCCCGCTCGCCAGCCGTAGGGGCTGCCAGGCCCCCGCCCGCCTCTCGGTCCCCTCCCCCTGCCCGGCCCGCCCTGCCCCGGCCGGACTGAGCTCCGGCACACGGCAGCCCGCGGCGGGTCGCCGCGCCAGCCAAGTTGGGATGGGGGCCCGCAGCCACCGCCTGGCGCCTAAGAGGCCACCTGCGTGCTAGAGGCAAACTTTTGTCTCCCTCGGTAAAGTTGCATTGGCCTTTTTTTTGCTTGCTTTTCCTTGTGAAGTGCTCCCTGTCCCGGGGAGCCCGGGCCGAGTGGGATGCTGCGCCGTCTTGGAGGGTCTCTCGCCCCAGTACCCGCGCCACTGTGCGGGGATCAGGGCACTGGGCTTAGGGGGCCCTGGGGCTAGTGGGGCGGCCCGGTTTCGGGCTCTGGCCAAGCCGAGCGGGGACGTAAAGGGGGTCCGGGGGCTAGGAACTCGTGGCCAGGGGGTGATTTTGCATCCTCCTTCCTACCTGGGGGATAGAGCCTCTCTTCTCGGGGTGCACTGCCGGGCCCGCCCCGTCCCATCTCCACTTCACCCGAGCCGCGGGCTGTTTTTGCGGGAGGTGGGGAGGAGTGGCACCGGAGGCTGAGATGCTGCGAAACTCCCGGAGGTGGGCGATGGGAGTGTGTCTTAAGGGGACTGTGCTGTGTGTGGAGGGGGCTGCAGCCAGCCACTTGTGAACTTCTAACTGCACTTCTCCGCGCTACGTCCCGGAGCCCTGCCTTTCTTTCTTCCTCCCTTCTTCCTCCCCCTCGTCGGGCTCTACCGCCCCCTCCCCCTCGGTCAGGCTCTCCCCTCCAGCCTCCCTCCTTGCTTCTTTCCTCCTCCTCCTCCTCCTCCTGTCCTGCCCTCCGCCCCGAGATCCGCTTGACTTCCCGAAGGGATCCTCACGTAATCCCTCGCCCCGTCCTCTGGTCCCCCCACCCCTCACTTTCATCCCTACCCCCCACTCATCGTCTACCCCCCCCCCGGGGGGCAATCTCTCAACAAGTATATTTGCTGAGGAATTTGAAAAATCCACTACTGCAACTTGATCTGTGTGTGATGGATGGGGAGAGGCGCGGAGAGAGTTGGGCGCCAATCCTATTAAGGGTTTAGAGAGGGGAGCGTTTTCCCTGGACGGGGGCGGGGGGTGGTGCAGGGGGAGGAGGAGGAAGGGAGCGTGTGCTTGTGTGTGTGAGTGTGAGCGCGCCCGCCGCGTCTGGGAGCTGGAAGTCCACCCAACTCGGCGCCTTTTCAGCCCGGCGGTAGTTGCTGTCATTTCCTAGGAAACCCGACTTTCACAGCGCGAGGAGCTGGGGTTGCAGACCTCGCGCTTCACCCCGGGTGACCGGCCCCGGAGGCACTCCCAGGCCGTGGGTCCCCCCTTCCAGGGTGCCTCCCTCCGCTCTCCTCTCTTTTGTATAATTTTTGTGTGGCTCAGAGTTGATCCCGGCTGGGAAAGTAGACCCTTCCCTCGAGTCTGGTGCCGCGCCCTGGGGATCTTTTATGCGCTCCCCGGCCCTCCGGCCCGGGCATCCCGCGCGGTGCACGGCCTCTGGCGCGGGCTTTGCAGCCCGGTGGCCGCGGCCGAGTCCTGGGCCCCCGCCCGCCGCCCTGGCCGGGCGTGTGGAGGTTTAATCCCGACAGCTTCAGATAAAGGGAGCAGTTGTAAAACGCTCATATGCTGTTTGCAGACGAGGCTCTGGGGGATGTTGGAGAATTTGAAAGTAAACGTTTCCCTCGCAAGCGGCATAAAATAGTGTTTAAACAAATATTGTATTGGCATGCTCAGGGGGCTCGGTGCCAAAAAGTAAAGTAAATAAACTGTGAAATCCAAAATATACAGCGGCAGAAAGCGGCGGAATAGGCGGGCTTGTCACAAGTCCCCCTGATGAGATGTGTTTATTCTAGCCACCTTACCTAGGAGCCCCCTCCCCGCCCACTTCCTTACCTAGGCTGGGAGTTTCCTTCCCTCTTCCCCGTGTGTTTGTGTGTGTGTGTGTGTGTGTGTGTGTGTGTGTGTGTGGTGGGGGCGGGCAGGCCTCCCTGGGCCTGGGAGCGGCTTTGCAGTTGCTCAGCCGGGAGGAAATGCATTGTGTGGCTACCTGGGCTGGTCTCCCTCCGGGGAGGGGAGGGCACCCTGGCTCTGCGTGGCTGCTTTGAGTTTTGATGCTCCTCGGGCTTGTCCCGGCTTCTGCTCAGCCCTGGGAGTAATTCTAGAAAGTAGAACCTAGACTCTGCAGATGCGTCCCCTCCGGAGCCTCCCTCCCTCCGTGTGCCTCTGACCTCCCTTCTGCTCCTCTTTCTTCCTTCATCTTTCTTGCTTTCGTTTTCTAGACTTGCTGCTTCTCCCTCTCACCGCTAAGGGCTACAGGAAATTGCGGAGATGTTCTCGCCCAGGTTTAAATTCCACTCAAACCCAGACATATGGAAAGTTCTCACTTGTCAGGGTCTCAAAGTTAGTTATATTTTGTAATATTTAGGATACTTTTGTATTTCCCTTCTGCTTTGAGAAATACGCTAATTTCCTGAGGTTGTTTAGTGATTCCAGGGGGATTTAAACTAATGCAGGAAGATCCCCATCCAGGTGAGGAGCCCCCTTGCCCAGGAGATAGCCCACAGGTGAACCGGCTGTCCCTTGGTCTGGCATCTGAGGGAGAGACTGTGGTCAGAGCAGTCTGTTTTCAAAGTCAGTGGATGGGAACGAGAGGGAGAAAAACACTCCCGAAACAGGAACAAGGTGGGACTGTCAGAGATGTTTTTATCCTCCATGGGAATTGTCTTGAGGGGAATTTGCACAGGGTTCACATTCTCTCAGCCGAGCCTCCCAGGCTGCTCCCCAGCTCACAATGACCCTGGCCATGGCCTTGGAGGGAACTCTTGCCTTAGCCCACGAGGCCCTTCTGGCCGGCAGCCTTAGAATGGAGTGCCACTCCACTTTCCCAGGGATGCTCCAGCCCACTTGTGGGGAGAGCATTGAACAGAGGAAATCCTTAGAGTTGCCTGGTCAGAAGAGGGGGCCACAGGGCCACAGCGGCTCATTGCCTGGCTGCGGGGGTCTGGGGACTGTGTACTGTAGCTGGCTTGTTTGCACTGCAGACTGAAAAATACACAAATACTTCATGCTTTTTGTATTCCCACAAGTGCCCTGTACACAGTGCAGCCCCTAGGGCTGGATTAGCAAAGCAGGGGATTCAGCAGGCAAGCAGACAAAATTGGATATGTGCCTAATAAACACCCTTCTTCCATCAGGGCCCCCCTCAGCCACCCTGGGGCTGGGGGGGACTTCACCCCACGGATGCCAGCAGTTCCCTTTAAATGAGACCAGGAGGTTGTCGTGTGCACTTTGAAAGCCTGTGTGACCCCTACACACCCAACTGGCTTGTTAAAGCTCAAAACTGCATCCTTGTGTACTCTAGGGGTAGGGCAGCTTGTCTTTCCTGGGGAAAGTGTGTGTTCAGCAGGTCTTCCTTTCATCTGAGTGACGCCGGCTCATGACGCTGGCTCTGGCTCCAGGGAGGTGGAGCAAACCAGCCTTGCTTCCTGGGTGTGGGGGTGGGGGGCGCTGTTCTACCTGTGCCAGGGCCTGTTTTGTGGTGCACGAGGGACGGCCAGGCCAGGTGGACCTCGCTGTGGGCAGCTGCAGCTGTTGCCCCTGGCCAGGGTCCTTTGAAAAAGACCCCCTGGGAAAGCAGTTCTCTGCTTTCTTTTCAGTAAGTGGCAGAGGCATGGACAAATGAAACACGTGAAGAATGCCAAAGAGAGAAACTAGTCTGATTCCAGAAAATTCAGAGAGGCGGAATAGGTGATTGTACCACCACCCAGAATAGGCAGCAGTTTCAGCAATTTTAAAGACCAGGGAGGAAAGCTGCTCTAACTTTCTCTCCGGCTGGCTTAAAGGATGGTTTGGGAAGGGGTCATCGTTGGTATTTGGTGGTGTCCTTTGGTAAAGAGCAACAGCTTCGTGGTTTTCAAATAAACATGACACTAGATTCAACATTACTCGTTGTCTCTAAAATTAGAGTGTTTGCTGTGGAATATAAAGGATTTATAAAATACAAATCATTGATCATTGTTTTTAGATTTTGAGAGTGACAAAAACACTCTTAACCTACAGAACTATGTTTAAAACCTGGGAAAAGACACCAACGAGACCAGCATACTTTCTGCGTGTTCAGTCTCTTATTTTCTCCAGTTCCTTCATCAACAAAAGCATCCTCAATAATCCGGTTTGTGATCTGATTCTGATTTCTTAAAAAACATACAAATGGGGGAAATAACTCATTTAAGATGTGACCAAAGAGTACATGTTAAACCATTTTTGAGATTTTGGTTTAAATTGAATAAGTTAATGTGGTTTTGTGTGTGTGCATGTGTGTTGTTAAAAAAAAAAAAAAAAACAGGCTGCTGGGAAGTGTGTTTTAACTGTGAGTGCCCGGTTTCATGCATTAGCATAAGAAAAAAGTTTTAGTGCATTTACTATTGTCTGGAATGAAGAGTTTCAGCAAAGGGAAGGGAACCCGCAAAAGGGTGATGGTCCATTGAGATTCTCCAGCAGCGCCAGCTCGTCATCTGCCGCTGAAATCTGTGATCGGATATCACTTTTATCTGGCTTTTCCATTCTCTGGCCTTTTTCACACGTTCACTTTTGTCAAGGTTTATTGATTATGTTTTCTTCTCTGCAAATCTGTGGAAAATTTAATGAACCAAAAACGGCAGTGAAATAAAGGGGACTTTTTATTCACTAGCACGGGAGTGATTTCCCGCCTTGGGCCGAGGGCCCCTGGCCTCCCGCGAGTGGGCGCAGGGAAGGGGGGAGAGCAGAGGAGGGGGCTGGGGCCCTGCTGCAGGCTGAGGCGGGGCCTCCCCAGGCCTGTGGCCTCACTGCTGACCGGCTCGGGCTTAGGCCGGGACTCCTGTCCCAACTGAACATTGAAAGCTCCTCCATGATGGCTGTCCTGGCCCGCCTGAGTCTTCCACGCTACAGACCCCAGCCTCGTCCTCCAGGATCCTGGCTCAGGGGTTTGCGGGGTGGGGATGGGGGGGGCAGATATTTGTAATCTCCAACCTTACAAACCATTTGAGTGCCTAGGCCTTCCTGGGGACACAGTTAAGTGTCTCCCTTCCTCCAGCCCAGCTCTCAAACCTGTAATTAAGCAAAGCCCCTGGTGTGATTACGCTTTGCTGACTCTGCTGGGTTTGGAGCCGCTTC